GACTGTAGCCCACAATCCCTGGCGAAGGACAGAGCTTTTACGCTCGTCAACAGTTCCCGTCTCGGAAACCCACACCGGGTCACTGTGAGTCAAGGAGTTTGCTTGTGGAGAGCCCACAAGCCCGCGGAAAGTCCCCTGGATCATTCCAGCACCTTCCAGAGGACGGTATGGCTGGCCCACTTTGGGAGACAGTGATTAGAGTATAAAGGGAATATTAGTTTCTTTTGCTCAAAACGTCATGTAGTAAAGTCCCTGAAATCACCGTGTGCCTCTGGAGTGTACTAGGGGAAGCTAGCGTAGAGAGAGAGGCAAGTCTATCCTTGCCTCTTTTAACTGTACTTCAGAGTAAGCACAATGGTTGGTTTGGGGCAGCGCCTGGCAGGTGAGCGAGAGCTCGGCAGAGGGAAACCACCTACAGGCACCTCGAGGAGGAAACGCTTGGCGATCTGCTTCCATCCAGGGGGCCACAGCCTTGCAGGACCGAAACAGGCAGTTCTGCTGTGCAGCCATGGGTCACCCTGAGTTGGGATCCACTTGATGGCTTTGGGATTGGGTTTGGCTTTTTTTGTTTTTTGTGTGCAAGGGCGGAAGCAGGCAGCTGGTCCTCAGTGGCCGCAAATCCTGGGAGTGAGACTGAAGGAGGCTCCCAGATGAGTGGTTCGGCCCGACAGCACCCATCCCCCACCATGAACCCTAGCTTTATGAACAGGCTGCTGGACAGGATTGCATCCTATGAGGGTGCCCTAGGCAGTGCCTCATTGTCTGCAAATAATGGGCACGCCGCGCGCGTTTCTGCAAAATGTGCAGCTTGCCTTCTCCTGAGCTTCCTGTGCGTGCCCTGCACCTTATGTGTGTTCTTTCCTGGGCGGGTGACATGCAAGCCTCCCCCTCCCCCCAAACAAAACGACACCGCATCACCTGTGAAGTATTCTTGTCTGCAAATGAGATTTGAATCTGATGAAGTCTGGACTGTAAATAAACTACCTAGCGTTTTATTGGAAACAAGAGGCAAGAGAGCCCATGGTAAACCGCACCACATGGAAGCAGGCAGTGATTTTCCCATTAGAATTCCCCTAGTTGACAAACGACCTAGATTTTTTTGTTTTTTTTTTTTAGCAAATGAATAGCCAAGGTGGGGAGGAAAGACGGTTTTTAGAGATTTGAGAGTCAACAGCAACCAAAAGACAATGCCCACAGCGCCATGGCACTGCCTGCCGCCACCATCAGTGGCATGCTTGAGCCCGTAACTCTGAGGACCATCGAGCCCCTGTGTCACCCAGGGGTCCCTGACGTGTCTGTGGTCCTCAGGCCCCTTCACCACCCACCTTTTAGGATCTGTGGCAGAGTGACTGTCCCACGACCTGGGTCTGGTCACCCGGGGAGAAGCCAGGGTGGTGGCTGCCCCACCCGTGCTTGGCCTTCTCACCCTCCCTCTCTCCTCTCCCTTCAGCGTATTCCCAGCACCTGGACAATGAGATCAGTCACAGCAGCTACCTGGGCACCGACTACCCCACAGCCATGACCCCCACTTCCCCTCGGCGCTACTCCCCAGTGGCTAAGGACCTGCTCGGGGAGGAGGACATCCCCCGAGAACCGAGGCGCATCGTGATCCACCGGGGCTCCACGGGCCTGGGCTTCAACATCGTGGGCGGGGAGGACGGCGAGGGCATCTTCATCTCCTTTATCCTGGCCGGGGGCCCTGCTGACCTCAGTGGGGAGCTGCGGAAAGGAGACCAGATCCTCTCGGTGAGAGGGCCGCAAGGAGCCCAGAGCTCTCCGGGGTTCTGGGGACGGGGGTTCGGGCCTGAGACCTGCCGGGCTGTCCTCTCCCCTCCCTTTGACTCTGGCGCCCGCAGCTCAGCCTCGGCTCCCTTCTACAGGTGAACGGTGTTGACCTCCGCAATGCCAGCCACGAGCAGGCTGCCATAGCCCTGAAGAACGCGGGTCAGACGGTCACCATCATCTCGCAGTATAAACCAGAAGGTACCAGGCCCCTTCTCATGGGAGCTCAGATGACCTTCAGACTGCTGCGGCCTCTGCGTGGGGGTGGGGTGGGGGCCTGGGGTGGGTGGTGGTCGGGGGGCACAGCTCAGGAGGTCTTTCCGGCTCTCCTCAGAGTACAGCCGCTTCGAGGCCAAGATCCACGATCTTCGGGAACAGCTCATGAACAGTAGCCTGGGCTCAGGGACGGCCTCCCTGCGGAGCAACTCCAAGAGGGGGTTCTACATCAGGTCAGAGGCTTCTCGGGCTCCCAGGCTGGGTTCCGTAGGTCCCCATGACTCGTCTTCCCTCTGGCTTGCCTCCCGTTCCTCGTTCCTCACCAGCTCTTCCTCTAAACCCTGCCTGGGTCCAGCTTCCCCCACAGGCCGGGTGTTCAGCTTCACACATGCCGGTTTGCACACAGTGAGCAGTTTGCAACACCATTTTGGTTGGCAAAACGGGTCTCTGCTCCAATGGTCTTCTAGCCCTTGGCCCCCCCAGCGCTTCTCCAAGGACCCACATTTTGGCATCTAAGAAAGTGAATTCCCGGCAGGACAGGGGGCTCCTAGGGGCTCCCTGTGTGGGTGAATTGTTTTGGTTCTTGCTCTGCGTCTGCATTCCAAAGGCTGCCCAGGCCACTCGGTGGCGGTGGCAGCTGCCTGTCGGGCATTGAGGGCATTGACTCGCTGCTTCTGTCCCCTGACTCCCCTTTCCCTCGCTCCTGGCTGGAGGTGCCTGCCTTCTGTTGCTGCCACCTCCCCCAGCACCTCGTTTCTCTCGGTGACCCTGTCCACTTAGAGCCCATCTCTTGTCACCCGCCCTGCAGCTGTTCCTCAGCTGCTTTCTCGGGCAGCCCAGACTGGGCAGGTGTGGCCATCTGCTTTCTGGATGTTTCCACGGGGACGCTCCACGGGCCCTTCCCACGCAACATGCGCTGCGCCTTCTGCGTCTGATCCCTGCCAGGGCGTGGATGGAGCTGAGGTTTAAAGATTGTTACATGGTACGGTGGCACTGGCCCCTGCTTAGCTGCCGCCTCTCAGAGTGGCCGAGACCTCTAGCCAGCATCCGGAACCCGTTCTTCTCCTCCTCCCCAGCAGCCCCAGCCAGGCTCTGACTGGCGCCCTCTCACTCCCCAGGGCCCTGTTTGATTACGACAAGGCCAAGGACTGTGGCTTCCTGAGCCAGGCCCTGAGCTTCCGCTTTGGAGATGTGCTGCACGTGATCGACGCCAGCGACGAGGAGTGGTGGCAGGCGCGGCGCGTGCACTCCGACAGCGAGACCGACGACATTGGCTTTGTCCCCAGCAAACGGCGGTGAGTCTTGGGGCTCCTGCCCCAGGCACTGTGGTGGCCAGACCTCCCGTAGCAGGCAGCCAGTAGGGCATGGATGCCCCCTCTGTCCTCCTGAGGGTCTGGCTGCAGGGAGGTGGGGTAGCCAGCTGGTCTAGAGGGTGGGGGCCAGTAGGGTTCCTTACTGGGCATTGCCCTCCCCCCCCCCCCTTTCTATCTCACAGGGTTGAGCGACGGGAGTGGTCGCGGTTAAAGGCCAAGGTAGGTGGGCGTGAGCCCAGAGGAGTGGAAGAGCTGGGGGCCGGTGGGGCTGAGGTCTTGCTAACCTCACGGCCGCTCTTTCTTGTAGGATTGGGGTTCCAGCTCCGGATCACAGGGTAGGTAGGGGGCCTGTGGGGACAGGAGCCCGAAGTGTCTCTCCATGTCCTCAGGGGCTCAGGGCCCCCAGGCAGAGCCCCTCACAGACGGCCTCCCTCCCACCAGGTCGAGAAGACTCGGTTCTGAGCTATGAGACGGTGACACAGATGGAAGGTGAGCCCCGGCCCCGGCCATGCCCCTCCCGTCCCCTCCTCCACTGTTCTCTGCTGAGCAGCATGGTTCTCTGTCCTCAGTGCACTATGCGCGCCCCATCATCATCCTCGGCCCCACCAAGGACCGCGCCAACGACGACCTTCTCTCCGAGTTCCCCGACAAGTTTGGATCCTGTGTTCCCCGTGAGTGCTGGGTCTGTGGATGGAGACGCTGCCTTGGGGCAAGGAGCCCCACCTTTGGGCTGTAGACAGAGCCACCTGTGGGCATTGGACTTCATAAGGACCCTAGGGTGCCTCTTAGCCACCTTGACTGTCCCCAGACCAGTGACTTGGAGACCCCAGGGCTCTGGGCGACATGGTTCTCTCCCACTTGGTCACCGTCTTCCCTTAGCAGCCCTCCCTTCCCTGGTGGAGCCAGCTGGGCAGGGTGGGCTTGGTGGAGCTGGGCTTGGGCTGGAGACCACTGGTGGCTAGATCTTTGTGGGGGTGGGGGTGACTTCCTGGCAGATACCACACGGCCCAAGCGCGAGTATGAGATAGATGGCCGGGATTACCACTTTGTGTCGTCCCGGGAGAAGATGGAGAAGGACATTCAGGCGCACAAGTTCATCGAGGCTGGCCAGTACAACAGCCACCTGTACGGGACCAGTGTCCAGTCCGTGCGAGAGGTGGCAGAGCAGGTAGGATGTGGTGGGCAGCTGGCCCTCTTACTCCCC